CTAGGTCGGGTAATTATCAGTTAAGTTATCTACTAGCGGGACTGGGTAATGCCAATTGCACTAGTAGAATTATTTATTAGCGGGATCGGTTGATGCCAAATGCACTAGTAAGTAACCATACCGACGTTCATGAACATAGGTTAACGGTGTATAATAGCTAATTAGCCGGGTAAATTATAGAGGCTTGAAATAAGAGTCACTAGTCTGAATTTACCTGGAGGCTTGAAGCCATGATGATATCAGTCAGTGGTGAGACAGTAAGTTCTGCATGTTTATATAATTATTATCCAATCTATGTTTATACTGAATCGATGCATAGTATGAATTTTACCACTGAGCCGAGAGACGGTGCACACCCCTTTGTTTTTTAGGTTGATCGAGCTGGCGGCGAATACGAGAGGACGGGCATGGTCGTCTTTAATTATGTTTATATTTCAGTAAACTCTGTTGAAATTTATATTCAAATTTGAACGTTTGAATTACAAAATGATTATATGAATCGTGTTTATTTTGAAACGTTTATGTTTTTAATGTCTTGATAGAAATATTAGATTTTGAGTAATGCCGTTAAACAAATTTTTATAATGATTTGCGAAAAATAAACTCTGGTTTTATTTTAAAAAAATATTCGATATTTTATCTTTTAAATAACGGGGCGTTACAGTATGGTATCAGAGCGGGTCTATGGTTCTGTAGACTTGCAATTTTTATTTTTTTTAAACTAAAAGCTTTCAAAGTTAGAGAATTTTTGAAACGTTTCCGAAAGGTTTTAAGGTTTGACCACCCGCCTTTGTCGTGTCGCGCCAACCCCAAAGTAAGTATTATGTGGTAAATTCAGTTCAATAAGACAGTTACATGAGATGTTTCAGTTTCAGTTTGATATGATTATGCGATTCAGTTCCATTATGATAGAAATCATATGTATGAATTAAGAAGTTCTCTTTAATAAGTTCGCGTATGAGTTTAGATAAGTCTTAGTATATGAGGCATGTTTGCCTTTTTGTGACTATTTGTATGACTCTGCATGAGTCTAAGTTTGACTTTAGAATGGGGCTTAGGAATTTATCCTCCTTCATTTAAATTAATTTGAACTTTAGTGGTTGAGTCTCGTGCTAAAGTTTCGACTCGTCATATAGAGATGGGTCCTCGTAGAGATCCTCAGCATCAGCAGGCTCCACTCGCTCAGGGTGAAGATCATGTCGGATAATTTAGCAGTTTCAGAACATGTGTCCCCAACCTTTTCGGGAGTGGAGGGGCCAACAACTTTGACGGAGTGGCTCCGTAAGCTGGAAAGGATCTTCACCGTTCTCTGATGCTCAGACGCCCAACGCATTGAGTGTGCTGAGTACGAGATGGAGGGTGATGCCTCCGACT